GTTTTTGAGATTTCAGTTTTGTCCCTATGATTTAAATTTATCAACTTTTTCGTCCTTGTGGTTTACAATTCTTGCATTGTTGTTTTCGTCTTTCATAGTTTATGGTAAACCACTAACGGAGTTAGCCTCAGCCCTTAAAGACAAAAATATCAATGACTTACAAACTAGAAGAACAAAATACTGTGATTTTGAAAACAAAAGGGATGAAATTTGCAACTTTTAACAAACCACAAAACAAAAATCGTAATTTAATCACAAGGATGGTGCCTGGTTGGTTTGAATTTGGCTCCAAAGGTCAAAAGTATCTGGAGGTCTCAGGTTCAAATCCAAGAAAGAATAAAAATCCCTTTGTGGTCACGGAGGTTCAAATGTGGTGACTCCGGGCTATCTGCAAAGCAGGTCGTCGTTCTGAAATTAGTTGGCTCACATAGCGGGTTGGATATCAATCAGAAATGAAATAAAGATTTCAGATTTTTTTTTAAAACAGTAAGTACCTTACGTTTAACATATTTAAAATGTTTACAATCTTCTACTCTCTCTTTTTTCGCTTCATATAGAAAAACGATGTCCTCTTATTATCTCTTGGTTCACGTTAAGTAACTTGTCAACGCTAAGTTTTTGTATGACCCACACATGTCTACTTGTCGAGATTTAAGTCCTTGTCCGGTTAATATATTTGGACACTGTTTAAATATATGTATTTGGACCGGGCCTAACGAACCACATCATGAGGTCAGTAGGTCGAACCGTCGGTTCTTCATTTAAGATACTTACCATGATGAAGACGATCAAATGTCGGTCAACGACGGTGAAAGAGATAGTTGAATATTATAATTGACGGTGTAAAAATGAGATTATATTAAGGTTTGATATAAAATATGGAAAATGGTAATAAAGGTGAAGATGAAAGTGATGGTTTGTGCTGGTAAGTGGGGTTTGGGAAGGAAATAAACAAAATAAGATAAATGTTGGATTGGAAAGGATCATACTTTGATCAATATTTCGATAAGGGTGCTGGTGGGTCCCTTGCACACCGCACATCGTCCGGTGCGCAAGGGACAAATCGTCAGTAGAGGGTGGTCTTGTTATATAACATCAGGTTAGGTTTCAATTTCTTTTCTGCAATTCAATCCCTATACGCACCAACTGATGTTGGCTACCAAATGAAGGGTCAATTGTTGCAAACGACTTATTTAAAGGTTAGTTTTGTAATTTCACTTTTTAAATGGTTATTTTTAGTCAAGAACCCATTTGTTTTACATGAACATTTGTCAGATTTTACAGTATGCTGAATGTAGTTTACTTTCGATTAATTTTGAATCGTCTCTTGACGATAAAGAATATCAGCTTGCATTTACATAAAGTTTTTACGAATTAGAAGAATAGAACAAAAGTTCTTCATGCCATCCCCAGCGAAATGCATATTGTAAGTGGATTTGTTGCTCGGTAACATCATTTCAACATTGTTACAGATAACAACAAAAAAATTAGTTTTTTTTTATATAAATTGGGGCACTTTTAACTATTTTCACCCAGGACACCAAATATCTCGGGACTGGCCCTGTTGATAGGAATGTGGAACAGTGAGTTGCTATATGACTAATTCATCAAAATGTTGCCCATGGAGGGTGAGGGAGACGTCGACTGGGTTAAAGGGGGTAGTGCTAGACGGAAGCGAACCGTTGATTTCCTGTTTTCCGACGTCGTCGCCAACTAGAGAAGAGGAGGCCATGACTTCCCTTTTTCCGCTGGTCGAACTACACGAAAACCGGGCCAAAGCCCTTCTTCTTGAATGTTAGCATTGTTCTATGCTTGTTGGGCCATGAAAGCCCATGAATGCTCTCTATTTGATCCGAAAAGAATCCAAAGACTCCTCTTTGGCCCATTTAATATTAATGTTAAGAAGTTTTACGTTGAATTTAGTTTATAATTATTTAAGTGTATCCTGAACTCTAAATTCATTGTTGAGGTGTTTGATTCGTATTGAACTCATACAAAGCAGATGAGTTTCATAACTCGTTTTTCCAAGAAAATGACACACAACTGGTTTTATTATAATTTATGCAGCTTGACTGATGTTCTTTAATTATATAAACTGCTTAGTTTGTTACATCTGGTTTTTATACTGATAATTATAATTTAGTTAAGCTTATTAGTGTTCATAACTAGTTAACCTGATGGGAACTACAATATAGTTTAATCCAACATACTTGAACCCCTCCTCTAACCTAAGCCACTGAGTTAACTCTGAAATACCTGTTCAATGCGATTTCTAAGAGGATGACAGATTCCGAATAAAACCAGTTGAAATTATCGGTAATCAACATTTTAATTATATATTATTATAGATATATGAGTGCGGTGTGTGTTTGTAAGTCAAAAACACCATCATATTGAGATGGCCAAAAACCGGTTCCGGGCCGATCCCAATCGGTCCTTACCTTTCTCATAATCGGCCATAACCGGTCCCGGTCCCGGTTGAAAATGATAGGACCGGTATAGGTACTTCATAACCGGTTATGGGCTGCCGGTCCCGGTCCCGGTCCCGGTCCCAACCGGTCCTCGCATTAAAAAAATAAGATTTTTTTTTATTTTTTTTAACGAAATATATCTTTAATACATTATAAAATTTACAATTGGTCACTCAAATACACTTTAAAAATGCGTTTTAATATAATTAAAATTACGTTTTCTTATAAAAATACATTATAAAATTATTTAAAAATATATTTATTTATAAAATTATTTGAATTTTCGAGCCGGGCCGGGCCGGACTGGTCCATAGTCGGTCCCATAACCGGTCCCGGTCGGTCCCACAAAACTACCAAAAACCTCAACCGGTTTTCGGTCCCATAACCGATCCTTACCGGTTCCGGTCCTAGTCCTCCGACGATCCCGAACTGGGCCGGGCCGATTTGGCCATCTCTAAATATATATAGTCAACGCCACTCTCTGGGTCTCAAATTCAAAGTTTGCAGAAGTTAAAAGTCCATAGTGGGTTGGTGGGTGAACTTCACCAACAATTACGTCATCACAACGCCATCTTCTTTGTATGCTACTTTTTCTCAAAATTAATTTAATATTTTGTTTCACTATTAAATTTGTTTATTAATTTACAATGAGGGAATGTTTACAAAATACCCAATAAATTCTAAATGTATTTTCTTAATAAATAAGGGGTTATTTGTAAATTACTAAATGTCTTGATACAAAATGATTAAGTGGTCAAAATGATTAAATGACCCTCATGATATAGTGCAAAATGAAATATAATTATTTGATAATTGTTTCCTATTAAATTAGGATGTTGAATAGTTAAGTAAAGTCCATAATATAAAATCATTAAAAGAGTTTTAAATATATTAAGAGACAACTTTTTTTTTGTCAAACAAGATTCTAAAACTTGTGAATAAATAAACTATTGAACATAGTGAAGTTGGATATTTACATTATTTTAACTCAAAAAATCTACTTGTAATTGATCATAAAATATTAAAATGACAAAGTATATAAATATGTTTTTACTGTTTTCAAAACCTATACAGTTCATACCCTTTGCATGCAATGACATAGCTACCCTTGCCATATTTCGCCGCCCGAACATCGTTCACTCTCCGTAGTAGCCCATTGTTGTCGTTGCACCATGTCATATGTCTCCTTTTTATCTGTTATCTTTTCTAACAGTTTAATGAAATACATATAAACAGATCAGAAAAGAGGATAACCGGAAAAAAGATCAAAAAGATGGAGATCAATGGAAGGGCCAAAGACGGTAATAGAGAGCGGATGAAAATGAACGACAAGGGAAAACAATTGTGTTCGGTGTAAGAGGTTTGAATGGCATAAGGTATGGGAATGATACAACTGGTGTAGGTTTTTTTATTGTAAAATATTCCTAATTGGTTACACGTATTTTTGTTTTTATTTTTTTAATCAGAGGAATGCATGTAATCAATTTCTAAATGTTAAATGATTTATTTATTAAAAAATTAGACCAGTAACTTAATCATTCATAAATAAAAAATATTAATAAATTATTTATCAAAAAAAATAGTTTAGAAATTAATCATTTTAAATAAAAAAATTATTTTGTATGTGATGACTTTTAAAACTTTTAGCAAATCAAATACTAAAAATTACAAAATTAAGTATTTAGTCCGAAAAATAAGATAAAAAACGTATACATAAATATTAAAAAAAAGATAATTTATGATAAATGAATTGGAAATAATTCAACTAGTTTAATAAAATTTACAACTTATTCGATCAATTATATATATATGATTGTTTGGTAGTATCTTAATAATAAATAAAATGACTTATTCAACAAGTTTTTAAGGGGGTGGGTAGGGCTGTAAACGAACTAAATGTTCAGCGAACCATTTCGCAGAAAATTCTTTTATGTTCGTTTATTCAATAAATAAACGAAAATAACAAAAAAAAATTGTTCGTTTAGTTAAACGAATGAACATGAACAAGAGTCTCGTTCGTTCATTTACGTTCATTTATAGATTGAATTTAATATATAACCTTTTATTTATTTGGTTTGAATTAAAATAATATTTATTTAAGTGTTACCTTTTTAGGCTTGTTTATTTATGTTTGTTTTAGGCTTGTTTGTTTATGTTCGTTCATTTACGTTCGTTTAGCATGTTAATGAACGAATATATACAAACACAACTGATTTCTAAACGAATAAACATGAACACAAAGATTTTCGTTTAACATTGTTTTTTCCATACATGTCATTTCAATTAAAAAACAATCCCCTTTCATTTACGAAACAACCCCACCAAACAAATGTGAAAGAGTTATTTATTAATTGTGAAATAAATGGAAATAGATGGTATAATAAACCCACAGCCTTCAAACAGGACTGGGATGCAATACGGTCCAAGTTCAAAGACTCGTCTTTCTATTTATTAAATAAAAATATCTGCATCCATCACACATTCCAAAATCAATGGCATGCCCTTTCATCTCTCTATATAAACCCTACTTCTTCACACATACCTCATCTCCCTTCTTGTCTCTTTCCATACCCCACTTTTATCACCTAATCTCAACATTTCACAACATTCTTCAACTGGGTTCGATTCCATCTACCATCTTTTTCTGAGCGATTGAATATTTATAGGAAAAAGGGAAAAGGGTTTATCAGATGGTGTTGGATTCGTATTATTCGAGCTGGGTGTTTTGTTATTGCATCTAGTTTTGGTCATTTTTGTTGAACAGGGGAAAGGGGTTTTTATCAGATCGAGTTTGGTTCCATATTACTTGACCTGGTTGTTGGATCCATTTTGGTGAAAGATTGGATTTCGAATCGAAAAGGGGAGAAGGGTTTATTGTTCGTAACCCATTTGGGTTTGTTGAATGGGTGCTTTGGATGAGGGTCATTATGATCTGAAGCTTAATGGGTCTGTGGATCTTGATATTGAGCAAGAACCAGAAACTGTAGCCATTGAAGATGCTGTCAAGGTTTTGTTACAGAGCTTGGGTGAAGACATCAATAGAGAAGGTCTTAAAAAAACCCCTCTTCGTGTTGCCAAAGCCCTCCGTGAAGGGACCAGAGGTTTGTTCATTCCACATTATCACCTACTATTCTTTAACTTTCTAGAAAAATCTAATAGATTTCTACTTTTCCAGGCTACAAACAGAAGGTGAAAGACATAATCCAAGGTGCATTATTTCCTGAAGCAGGGGTCGAAAATGGAGTCGGTCAAGCTGGAGGATCCGGTGGGCTAGTTCTCGTTAGAGATCTTGATCTCTATTCATATTGTGAATCTTGTTTGCTCCCATTCCAGGTCAAATGTCATGTCGGTTATATCCCATCCAGTCAACGTGTTGTCGGCCTTAGCAAACTCTCGAGGGTCGCTGATATCTTTGCGAAAAGGCTCCAAGATCCACAACGGTTGGCGGATGAAATTTGCGTTGCTTTTCAACACGGGATCAAGCCGACTGGTGTCGCCGTCGTTCTCCAGTGCTCACACATTCACTTCCCCAATTTCGAGACTCCATTTCTAGACTCCGAACATCAGAGATGGGTGAAGGTTCTAGTAACTTCCGGTTCTGGTTCTTTCGGGAAACATGATTCTCCTACCTGGATTGACTTTTTGAGTCTGCTAAGATATAGAGACATCGATCTAGACACCATTCATTCAAGAACATCCGTTAAAGATTCATGGTGTCCATCAAGATCTTTCTCCGTGATCGGGCCTTCGAGACCCGGGATGGTTACTGCCGTGGCATCGATTTTACGGTCCTTAGGTCAAGATCCGTGTAGAAAAGAACTCGTGGGTACTCCTAATCATTTCGTCAGATGGCTAACGAATTTTAAAGATTCAAACTTGGAGATGGAACTCAGTGAGTTCCCTGGTATCCCATTAAGAACCATCGAGCGTGTGAACTATAAAGATCACATCAAATCAGAGATGAATCTATCATTATGGTCACTCTGCGAACACCAGTTACTACCGTTTTACGGTTTAGTTCATATTCGGTTACATATCCGACGAAGAACCGAATCATGAACGGAAATCTCGTCTACAATCAGTTGTCCATTTTCATGGTTTCAAACTCCAGGTACAAGAAAGGCTTACCAGACAGATCGCAGAAACTGTTGCTCCATTTTTGGGTGGAGATGTGATGGTGGTTGTGGAAGCAAATCATACTTGCATGATTTCTAGAGGTATCGAAAAATTCGGTAGCAATACGGCCACGATTGCGGTATTGGGTCGGTTCTCGAGCGATCCTGCAGCAAGAACGAAGTTTTTGCAGGGAATTCCTAACTGTTGTTTGTAAACAGTAGGGTAAGGGGACGTTTGCGTTGAGTGAGCGGTTATCGAGTAAAAGTCTTTTGAAGTAATAATCCAAATTTACTTATAAGGTAAGTGTGGATGGTGACTATTGTCGGTAAGCTTTCCAAGTAAGTGTTTAGTAAATGAACCCTAAAAAGTTATGGGTTTTATATGTACTACTACTTTACACTACATTTTTGCATTCATATGTGATTCTATTAAGCTGAGAAAGATGTCACAACTTATATGTGAACTGCTATTGTGTGTCTACATTTAGTTTATGTTTGGTAAATTGGCCAATTAGTTGTTTGTTAATAAGCTAGTTGATTAAGAGGTTGTTTGTTTACCTCTTAATAGTACCATTAATAGACAATCTTTAAATCGTTAAGAGGTAAATCTTGTTTGGCAAAAAAGAGTTTGTGCCTCTTAATTGGTTCTAAAACCCTTCGAAAGATTTTTGTATTTTGAACCTTCCTTAACCATTTAGCGTCATAATTTTATCGTAGACAATTATATTTTTTTATACATTATATCATGAAATCCTCTTAATCATTTTGATTATTTAATCATTCTACACTAAACCATTCAACAATTGCCAAATAGCCTCTAACTAATTGTGTTTGATAAAAACTAGTTGATAAAATAGTTAGCCAAAAAAGACGTGTGATAAAAATAATCAATTCTAACAATTTATAATATAATTAGAACAAATCACTAATAATATAATAAGTTTATTAATAAAAATTAATTTGATTCTTAGTTAGATAAGATTTATATTTGTATAATCAGATACGAATTTTAATTTTTTTACATTAATCGATGATTTTAAATAACCATTAGATAATAAAATTAAAGATTATCAACCTTACATATCTTAATTAATCAATAATTTTTCAAAACAATAATAATTAAATTAAATATTTTATTAAAATCATTTATCAAAGTTTTATTTTTATGAAATAGAATAGATATAACTTTAACATTTATGCAACTTATGAAACATATTCAAATTTGCTATTTTTGCTTCTTAACAAATTGAATAATAAAAATAATTAATATTTTAGGATTAATATTAACTAACAATTAATAATTAACGTTAAATAATAAAATTAATATTAATATTATAGTTGGAAAAAAGCTGCAAAAAAACTCTTATTTATAAGCTAGCTTTTGGGCCATCCAAAAGCGACTTTTATTATAGTTGACGCGATGTGGTTTCTTGAAACTGAAAGCTAGTAAAAAGATAGGATATGTAGATGGAGATGAAACTTATTTACGCGCACCTGAGTGTTTCATACAACTTACTCGGTTCTAGATAGATTGAGATTTATTTACGCACACCTGATCGGTGGTTGCACCGATATCGCACACAAATGACGAAACTACTCGGACCAAAGGTGTCGAATGGTCTTCCAATCTACTTCCACGCTTGGTTCAGGAATACTTTCGCCATGAGCTAGACGATTTGTAATGATGATGATTCCTAGGGCTACTAGCAGTAGTAAACATGCCCATACCGGAATAGAATCCTGCAACATGTGTTCTTATAGTCAGATCCCATCTCTTTGTGGGATTTACTCGATAGGGAGGGTTAAATGCACCCTTACCTACTAATTCCTTTCTCTCACACATCAACATCAAAGAATTACTTTTTTATATTTTCAATGTATGATTTGACTTGATTCTGACATAAATAAAGGTGCATATAGCAACGCCCTAGTGTGCAATAAAAATGGAAATATATCAATATTGCAAAGTCTTGCCTTGAATATCAAAGGTTCGCCTTTGCAAGGAAGGTTCCTATCTGCATGCTCGAGAGCATAGCGTACCATGTCAATGATAGTCAAATCGGTCGTTCTTTCTGAGTTATCTGAAAGCGGTGCAACAAACACTGAATAACAAAACCAAACCAAATGAATCCAATAATCCTACACAAAGATGTTCCGAGAGGGTAGGATGTATCTAGACCTTCTAAATACCCTGGCTTGTAAAATAAACTTTAAAAGAAAACATGTGCATGTAAAGAGACGTATGATGAAACGAACACTGAGGGGCTGTTTGGTTCAGGTTGGGGAATGAAAATGAAAATGACTTGCCACTTTGACCTAAAAATGAAATTTCGGGCTTGGAGAACGGGCCCATTATATTATATAAAACCAAATAGGTTCTTTTATTTTCAATTTCATTAATTACAGTTTAATACCTTTTACCAAACATCCCCTGAAATAACAACCCCCCTACAAACAAAAAGCTTCGGCCACCAATCAAAATCTTGATAAGCAAATTTCTATTTTCGGCCAGAATACCAACTTTGAATCAAGACTCACCTGGAACGTCAAAAGTTTGTTTACTTGGATGAACACCGAGAAGCTCTCCCAAATAAATACGAACACGTGCACGTTCAGAGAGTGAAAGTAGATCTCCATGCGTGATTGCAATAGCAGGTTTATGATCTGAAACACAAGTGAAAAGACCAAAAGGGTAATTTGCCAACAGTACCCGAGAGTTTTTTTCGAAAGGGGGTCCCAGGCTATGTTTGGACTAATACTGGCAAATTATGACTGCAAGAAATCAGTAGTAATAAACTCTGTGATCAAGATTGTTGTGTACGTCTGAAATCGAATCCTGGGTAGATGGGATATTCCACCATATCCCCCAGACCTCAACCACTATGCCACAACCCTTGTGGTTAGTACCCGAGTTACTGGTAGAGTCCAGCCTCTTAGGACGTCAAGTGTTCAAACACCAGTAACGAAGAGTGTGCGTGAGTATTTGCAGTATATAAATATTATATACTTCCAAAAGTAAGTGAAATAAATCATTTCATTTTACCTTTGAAAGACAAAAATGGTGAACCAAATAGCTCAGCAACCATTTGTGTATACTGTGTGTCTACTCCATGGCTTTCCACACATTTCAGAACCGAAAGCCCATTTACCACAAATATAACAAAGTTAACCGTCCTTCTTTCATAATAGACGAGTTCATTTTGGCGCGCTTTTCTCTTCATTCTCGCCTGTAAACTTGAACTATCGGAGGCACTATCATAAGAAAACACCATATTATATAAGCATATCTATAACACTAGGACGATCGACCAAAGGACCATTGGTCCAACAGTACCCAAATTACCAGTAGATCCCAACCTCCCTACCTCACTGGTGGTCAAGGGTTCAGGCCTCACCAAATGTAATTAGTGTGTGTGAGTTTTGCCTTATATATAGGTTTAGAAAAGGGAAGATCCAGAAAAAACCCAACGAACTTCCGCATTTTGATTGATTAAGTCATTAAACTTTCTTCTTGAATGAATAAACTATCGAAGTTTCTCATTTTGATTATATAACCTTACCGCTAACCCCCACTACCTTGCTAAACACAAACAATACAGATCGTACTACGAGGGCCTCTCTCACTCCGCTCACCTCCCCTCTGGATATGATCAAGTCCCTGGATTTTTTTAATAAATAAACCATCAAAATTTTGGAAATTGATTACCTACATTCTTTTGATCCAAAAAAGCTACCTATAACCAGCTAGAATTGTTTAAAGAAAAAAAACTTAAATCAGTTTTACAGTTCACAAACCCTAGGCCATTCAAACTCCTCTCACCAATGTCATCGCCACCCCCATTATCGTCCTCTCTCTGTCGCGGCCGTTGGCCATGCCATCGATCTCCCACTTTTCGATTATTTTTTCCGATTCCCCCTCTTTTTGATCTGTCATTTTTTTGTTTTCCAATTGTCCCTCTTTTTGACAAAAAAGAGATCATAAAGAGGCAGATAGATGGCTGGGTTGCGATGGGTGGTATGGAGAACAGACAATAACGGGCAGCAAGGGGAGTGTTGTTGTCGGGTGCGACGGGTATGAATGGCGTAGGGTTTGCGAACGGTACTAATTCAGGGTATTTTTTTTTACTTTTTTTTTATTAACCTGAATATCCAACCCGCTATGCGAGCCGACTAATCCCAGGACAGCCACCCGCTTTGCGGGTAGCCCGAAGTCACCGCATTTGAACCTCCGTGGCTACAAGAGGATTTATATTCCTCCTTGTATTCGAACCTGGGACCTCCAGGCACAAGGTAGTTTTTTGGGTTAAAATGACGTGGGTAACCAACCAATTTCTAAAAGTTCAATAGTTTATTTATTCAAAAAATATTCAAGAACTTGATCATTCAAAATAAGAAAGTTTATTAATTTAATCATCCAAAAAAATTTCAATGACTTGATCATTTAAAATGGTAAAGTTAACAACAAAAAAAAAAAAACTCAACCTTTTCACCAGTTCTCCATGAGACACGCCTTTCTTCATCCAACGCTTGATCATCTCCAGATTTTCAGATAAATCACCGGAAAAGCTGCGAGTGTCGTACAAGCAGAAAGAAGTTGAACTTCTTGGTATCATGTACTCCTGGAGGAACAAAGTTCCATTCGTGCTGCGTGAATTATCTGAAACAATCAAGATTATTGATTTTGTCCTAATAATCGATAAATCGCAACTAAACCCAGAATTATGAACTCAAGATTACATGTAACTTGGGCCCTTTCTGGTGCAAACTTGTCATCTTCAAACACCCTCGAGATCCTGTTAACGAGACTACTTTTCCCGGATCCTTTTGGACCGATCAACAGAAGGGTTGTTGTTATTGGCACATCATAGTCGCTCTTCGTCATGCCACCTACATTTTCTACCCATAATCCAGGGGTATAGCTAGAAAAACACCAAAAAAATGTTCTCAGAAAGGATCACAGTCTTCGACCCAACTTAATAGATTGGATCAATCTTATACACCCTCCGTCCAAAATAAATTCCACCCAATGAAAATGACATACAGTTTTAGGAATTCAATTAATAAAAGGACAATTTTACCTTTAATTATAGAGAGAGATTAATTCCATCATACAATTATAAGGGTAGAATGGGAAAGTGGACATTTACTTTTGAAACTGGACATTTATTTTGGGGCAAACTAAAATAGTAATATAGTTCGAACATTTATTTTGGAACAAACTAAAATAGTAATACAGACGTTTATTTTGGAACGGGGAGAGTAATGAATAACAAATTATGTTATTAAATCACTTCCAGAAAAGGAAAATCCCATTTCATCTTAAAGTCAAAAATCACGTTATAACCGACTGCAGAAAACAAATGAACCAATCCTTCTAAGAAGCTCAACACAACCTGAAATTCACGAACTCGATTAGATCCTCTAATCGATGGTACAAGTAAAAGGGGCCATTTAGTTATATAACCTCAAGGGATGGTTCAAATAAGAAAGGGTACATATCCTGAGAAAGTAAGAAAGAAGGTTCATATATGAATCATTGGAAAATTTTATCATGCATATGTGAAGCATAATAAGTCCATTCATCATGATCATTTAGATTAGGAAACAAGATGGAATCAGATATTTATTAGACTATAAACCAAGCAATACCTCAAAACTTTGCTTTTAGCCACCTCCATATTCACAACTCGATGATTCAATTCATCGTAATTCTGAAGAACTTGAGCATAAGCGTTGTTCATTCGCCTATCGTTTGCTTCACTTTCCAAGCATTTATAGGGATCTCTTAAACTCCTAGAAATTTTTTCCCCAAATATGGATTCGTTATTATCTTCCGCTGTCTTGCCGCCGATCAAACCACCAGGACTGAAACAAATGATCTTATTCAAGCTTCATCTAGATTTCATCGTTCACAGAATTCCAAATTTCTACACAGAAAACCTACCGTGAATAGGGTTTTTTACTCAAACGATCAGCGAGTTGCTTTTTCATTACGTCTTCATCGTCAATGGAGGAATCCGAGGGAGAAATCGTATCGCCGCCCATTACTGCTCGAGAATTGAAGTGACGGTGAGTTGAAGTTAAGTGATAAGGGTTCCGATTCCTTCGCCGAGAAGGTTGACGGTGGCGGAGGCAGGATATGAGGAACTGGTTTTCAACAGTGTTAGTAGAATTAAGAGTTTGGACTTTCTTTAAATTTTGTTTTAATTGCAGAAACTTCCCCCAAGGTTTTGAAATATGACAAGTCTGATCCCTTGGTAGCTTTTAACACAAAGTTTTTCGGTTATAAACCAGGAGACAAAGGAGAATGCGACACGTGGCCATGATGTCCACATTCAATGTAATAACGAAGGGCGTTCAGTATGAATAACGAAGGTGAACGTTTATTTCATTAACTGTTCATGATAAGTGATCCAACATTCATGATACGTGTTAAATTGATTCACTGTTAATGATGAATAAGTTGTGAAGAAATGAGATACGTTCGCGCTCTCCTTTGTCCCCCCGGTTCACGACCGGAAATCGATTTAACACTTGGGGAACATAATCACTTAGATAGATTGTAAAATGACATACCAAATCTTCAACCTGGCCATCCCAATCTAACCACACGGTTTGGATTAAGTTGGGTTGGGTTGAGATTTTTCAAGCCGAAAACATTAGATTGAATTGTTCAAATGTCTTCAGTCTAGCCAATCCAACTCATGTGCAACCCTAATCGAGGATAAAATGTATCCTCATCCTCGATTTATAAATTCAGGGATTCCTCTTCCTCGCCTCCATACCTGATCAACTTGGGGATCCCCCAATCAAACCAGGTTCGGAAATTGAATTTTGTGTCGAGTGCGTGGTTTTTTGTCATCCATGCTCATGAGCTTCATATTCTCTCTCCTAATGGCACCAAAGAAGATTTATGTTTTCTGTAATTATCATATGTTTAATATAAATGTTATTACACATAATTAGCCACACGCCACAAGAAACAAAGTAGATAATGGGATAACCGGTTTAACAGGCAACCGATTATCCAAGATTATAATGAATAAAATTTTTAAAGTGCAATGCCCTATTAAAAGTATCTTCAATGGATCTGCAAAAAAACCTAAAAGTAGAGGTTGTACTTCTCCAATCGACTTATAAACCGATTAAAAAATTTACCCGTAAAACAGAGAGAAAGGGATCGACCTCCATATTAAATATGGGGTTTGATATCCCCAACCCTTACGTCACTTATACACCCCACCCTCTCACATTCGAACCCTCTCACATTCAACCCCTCTCACATTCAATCAATTTGTTTAATATTATAATTTTAAATTACACTTCATATCCTTGTAATTAGTTAATTAATTTATTTTACACCTTTTACTTTTAAGTTTTTCATTTTGCACCTTTATTAAATTAACATACATAATCTTACATCAACTAAAACATGTTTAAAAAATACCTTTCTATTTTAACAAGTTACACCATTATAATCGTCTTGTTAATACCTTCGAAATGAGTCCAATATTGAATAGTTTTTGAGTTAATTATATTATTATATATTATATACACTGTGAAAAAATATTTTTAATATTTACGATTTATACTTTTATAGTATTTATTTAATTTATGATCTATCATTTATTTTTACACCATTATCACATTAAAATACATAATTTTTTATTAACTAAAATTAGATCTAACAACTAAATTAATCTTTCAGGAAGCATTTTCATACCCTTTATTCATCTTGTTCATCTTACATACTCATTTTTTATTTTAACAAATTACACCATTATAATCGTCTCGTCAATCTCTTCGAAATAAACCCAATAATGAATATTATTTGATTTAATTATATTATTATAATCGTATTTTAACTAAAATCCGTTAAAAATATGTTTTTATTTTAATAAGTTACATCATCATAATCGTCTCGTCAATAACTTCAAAATGAACCTAATATTGAACATCGTTTTATTTAATTATAAAACTGTAATTATATAAATATCACAAAGGTATAAAATAAAAATAAAGAAGTAAATAAATATAATAAATTTTTATAAAGATATATTATAATTTTAAAGTTAATTAATTTATATAATTATTAAAAAAATATGTATCCTTAATTAATTAATAATAATATTAGTTAATTAATATATGTAATTATAATATAGATAAAAAACCTGGAGGATATAATAGGAAAGTATTTAAAAAGTTGAAGGGTTAAAACTAAAAATATTAAAGGGTTAAAATTGAAAAATAAAATAAATAAATTTTAATTATTTTATTATTTCATATAGGGGGGTATAGAAAGAGTTGGGTGAAAGAAGTAGCAGGGGGTGGAAGGTCACTCTTTGCAATTTGCACCGCAAATATTTGGAAGGTCACTCTTTGCAATTTGCACCGCAACTTTACAGGGCCCACCGTTTTGTTATTTTCTAATTGTTAAATATAATTTTTTTAATATTTAATATTTACTTTAATACATATTATCAATACTACATTATAAAGTATTTAATAAAAACTTTTAAAAACTATTTTTTATACATAAAATATTATTTATTGATATATGTTATTTAAAATTCAATATTACAAATACATTGTGCATTAATACAACTTATTAAAGTTATATTTTTTAATTCGTGTAACTAACTGCATATAAATAAAATCAAATATATGATAAAAATCTTATTTTAAATATAAAAAATTAAAATATAATTAGGATAACTATTGATTTTTAATAAAATACTTAATTATTATATTTATTAAAATTATATTATTAAACAAAAATAAATTGATTTGTTATTAAATTTAAATTGAATTATAATAAAAAATTGAATTAAAGTAATTACACGAAAAACGAAAACTTTTAATCAATTTTTTTCAAATTTATATTTAATTCAAAAATAAAAATATTATCTTTTTTACACCACATAAAACCGTATTATATCCACAAAGAAAATGAATAAAATGAAACATCAAAATCGAGATATATTTCGCTGCATTGCACGAGTACTCTTCTAGTGTTATTTTAATGTATGATCCATAAATTTGGTGTTCTTTTAGGGTGCGTTTGGTACACTAGACACGACAAGACAAAACAAGACAAGGATCCATGTTCCATGTTTGACATGACTTTTATGTGGAATATACAGGAACGAAGTGAAACATGCCTATTCCACCCCTACCCTATAAAACATGGTGTAACAAGGTGGAACAGACTTATATTTTACCAATATAACCTCAAATAAAACTTAATTCTCTTCTAAAACATCAAATATGTCTTCTTTTTACATTTTATTCATTCTTTAAATTTTATTTATCGTATTTTATGTTTCTTAAACTTTCATTTTACTATCATGAAAATATTATTTTTATACAGTTTCTATATTTTTTTAAATTTATGTAATTTGTTATATATTAATAATAAAAAATAATGTAGACTAAAGATAAAAATAAAAATTAGAAACTACATAAACTTTTTATTTAATGTCATTTTAATTGTTTTGACGAAAACTTTCAAATGATATATCTTGTTATAAAAATAACTATTTTATAATAATTTAATAAATTACTTAAAATAAACAACTCATTAATAAATTCAAATAATAAAAACAATTATTCAGCAAAAAAAGAAGACAACCCTACCCCTTCACATCTCCTTCATTGTGTATGCCTCCTTCCGGATCCCATCTTAGATTTCGTTTTCTTTTTCTATTCAAGAACTGCATCTCCAACCCAGATTCAAGAACTCAACATTGTTTTCACTTTCTATTTTCGTTTTCGTTTTTTTCATTTTGTGATCATTTTTGATCCAAGAACTGCACCCCCTTCCAAAATTCAAGAACTCGAATCACCACTACATCTTCTTCCTAGATTTAAGAACTCAATTTTGTTTTCATTTTCAATTTAGTTCCAGATTTCTTTTGAAGTTTCTGACGTTCGTTTTCAATTTCGATTTTGGTTTCATTTTCGATTTCGGTTTCATTTTCGATTTCGTTTTCATTTGAAGTTTTTAAAATTTTTTGTTTATTGTTGTCTATTCCAGATTTCGTTTTCAATTTCATTGCAGGTTCTTTTTGAAGTTTATAATAACTTTTATTATTTGTTATTTGTTCTCTGTTCCAGATTTCGTTTTCGATTTCATTCCAAATTTCGATTTCAAAACCCTCTTTACATTTTTGTTCTTTGTTCGTCTTTCCCATAAACTAATCTTAAACCCCTCTCAAGTTCAGATTGTTCATGGTGTAGATTGTTCCTGATTTCACATGTTTTTTTGTTGAAGTTTTTCTGATGAACTGAAGGGTAAAACAATCATTTATATATTTCAGACTGTTAATTCAATAAAAAAAATTAAAAAATCAAATTTTTATCTAGAAAAAATAAATTTATCCGGATAACTTATTTAAATTTTTTATAAAAAACACATTTCCAAGGAGACTTGGCTTTCTTTCATGCCACTGCTTTGCACTATTAAATGGAGGTGGTGACCAACCTGCTCAACCATTCGAAATTCTAAACACGAAGATATCCACTTTCCGATCAACTATAAAAGAGATCGACTTTTTGATCGAGAAACATGTCGATGGCCGGAAAAAATGGCGACCTTCATCTGGTTATGTTTCCTTTCTTGGCATTTGGTCACATTAGTCCCTTTGTTCAGCTTTCAAATAAGCTATCCTCCTATCCCGGTGTCAAGATTTCTTTCTTAACCGCCGCCGCCAATGTCCGCCGTGTGGAATCCATGCTCAACCCCACCACTGAAATCATCTCTTTCACTCTGCCGCCGGTCGCCGGCCTCCCTCCAGGGGTGGAAAGCACCTCCGACACCTCCCCAGCCACCGTCGAACTCCTGAAAGTTGCTTTAGATCTCACGCAACCACAGATCAAGGCGTTGTTAACAGACCTTAAACCTCATTTCGTTTTCTTCGACTTTGCACAATCTTGGTTGCCACCAATGGCGTCTGATCTCGGCATCAAATCCATATATTTTTCAGTTTTTTTGACGATTTCCACCGCGTTTATGATTGTTCCGTCGTGGCTCCGCCACCATACGACACCACCAACTATCGAAGAAATCAAGAGACCACCACCTGGGCTCCCAGCAACCATCAATCCCAAGACTTTCGAAGTTCGAGATTTTCAGTACGTATTCAAAAGCTTCCATGGCACTCCAAGTGTATTCAACCGTTTGATGAAATGCTTCAATGAATGCGACGCCATACTCATCAAATCATGTACAGAAATGGAAGGACCCTACATTGATTACGTCAGCAACCAGCTCGGAAAACAAATTCTCCTCGTCGGTCCGGTGGTTCCTGAACCACATTCCGGCGAACTAGAAGAGAAATGGTCCAACTGGTTAAACCACTTCCCACCCAAATCGGTAATATATTGTTCTTTCGGAAGTGAAACCTTTTTAACCGACGATCAGATTAACGAACTATCTTTAGGGTTGGAACTCGCCGGATTTCCATTCTTCCTCGTTTTAAATTTTCCGGCGAACCTCGATGGCTCTGCAGAACTGAAACGAACACTTCCAGAAGGGTTTCTGGAGAGGATAAAGGATAGAGGGGTGGTTCACTCAGGGTGGGTGCAACAACGACACATCTTGGCGCACGATAGCGTAGGGTGCTATGTCTGCCATGCCGGTTACAGCTCAGTGGTTGAAGGTCTGGTTAACGACTGTCAGCTGGTGATGCTGCCATTGAAGGGCGATCAGTTGGTGAACTCGAAATTAATGGCGTTTGATTTGAGGGTTGGTGTGGAAGTAAATCGGAGAGATGAAGATGGGTATTTTGGGAAAGAAGATATTAGTGAAGGTGTGAGGAGAGTTATGGCGGATGTTGAAGATGAAGAAGGTGAATCCATAAGAGAGAATCACAAGAAATGGAAGGAGTTTTTGAAGAATAATGAGATACAGAGTAATTATATCAGAGATTTGGTGGAGAAGATGAAGGTTCTTTCTGGGAAAATCACTTAAATTAGTTTTTAATTATCGTTTATATGTTTTAATTATCGTTTTTATGTTTTAATTATCGTTTATGTCTGATTCGCTCATATGTTGTATAAGTCAGACTATTTGTTTTTTTTTTCTCCCAAGAGTCTCTTAACATTTAATAGATCTAAATAAATAAATGGTAAACTAGTATCTTAATTCCTTTTTTCTTTGATTCTCTTTGTCCATTGTCTTTTTTTTATTAGGGATGTTACCGTCCTTTCATCACTCATATAAAATGCACGTCCTCACCTTCTCTCTCTCTCTCTCTATATATATATAATTTATGTATGTATAGGTACATTATATGTTAGCTTAGAAAATTAATGTATAATAAGAACTATTGACGATCTATCATCTATCAAAAGTATCGATCTTTCCACAAACAAACTCACCGACGGCATTCCCAATAGCATTAGAAGTTTGTAAGGTATCCAAAAGGTTCTTTTGTGTTCCATATGTTAAACAATTGTTGAGATGAATTATGGTAATGGAAATTTTACGAAAATCAAGAGAATTTTGAAAAATGTTTGCAAAGACAAACTTTCGATTAAAAATTCAAACTTCAGGCGTTTGTCAGTTTACAAAAACAAACAGTCTTATTGATTCAGATTTCAGCCTTCAGTAATACCTCTTATTAATCAGAAGTGAAATAAAACTCCAGACTTCGACACCTCTTAAAAAACTAACGCCGCCTATGACTCGTACAAAGGTAATTTCAGATGTTCTTTAACACTAAATGGTAACTTTTTGAACTAAATCAATTATGAATTTGTTTTTCAGAAAGTCATTAGTTTTAATTGCTATCAAAATAACTGAAGTAAAAATGACTCTTGAACAAGGGTAATTTTGGTGTCCTATGGCAAAGACTGGTTGCCTACGGCCTTGATGGCATAGCTAGATAGGGGTGTTCAAAAAAACCGCCGGACCGCTCAAACCGGCCGAACCAAGTCAAAC